TAGTATTGCTAATCAGCAAAACGACCAGGTTTGTCATTTGTCAACAATTGATTCCTCAATGATTGATCTAGATGCAGGCTATGCTGAAATAAGGATTGCCTATRTAGTAKTATACCGAACGAAATGATTTAGTCTGTTGTTACAATTCAGGAGTAMTGATYTTTCATTACCAAGGCACAGGTAAGGCATCATTCCGCCYGGAGTACCTCCAGTACTCGTTGGAGAAGAACAAGGTGCATAGCCAGTGATCACAAGTTATAAAACTAATCGAGTTTTTCGAATTCTCCCGTTTTTGATGACCAATAGCAAACTAGCTTCACTCGGAAATTCGACAATTTGATTCCGAAGTGGGTGAGGGCCTTGCATTTCTCGGGAGACAATACTTCTCCCTCTTTGCAAAGTTTGTACTCTGTTTTGCCGTCCAACAATACGATTTTCCCATTATCAATTCGGACCGGAAGTCCCTGCTTTCGAAACTGTTGCTCCATCATAGATACCGGCTGGTTCGCTAGCATTTCGTTCGTGACAACAACATCCCGGGGAGCAACGAAGCCGGCTCTAGCAAAATCGGGTTCGCACAGATCCTTAAAGTATTGCTCCACCCCTTCTTTATTTCTCGACGTGAAGAGAAGACCTACAGATTCCGAAATCTCTCCCGATACGTGACGGAGGTTGTCGGCGTACTCGTCCTCCGGAGTCTTTCCGAGGGCTATCTGCAGGAGTTTGTTCTTTCCCAAGAAAATACGAGACGGAGCGGATTCGTCGCTGGTTTCTTCGTCGTGCATGTCATCTCCGCTCGTATTTTTGGCGCGGAAATGCATGCGAATGTCTTTGAATTTGTTGCTTCTCATATTCTCGTACGAAAAGAGGAAAAGGCTGTCGTGCCCGTCCACCGCATCACGAATCTCCTGTACATARGCCGACTTGTGCTCTCGGGTTGCTCTCTTCGAGACCTTTGTCAAAGAGACTAAATAGAAAGGAACAAAGATGAAAATATGACGACAACCAAGAAGCAAAGAARAAGATCGCGACAAGCAGCGCATTCTGTTAAAGCACGAATCGGATTGCATTTTTTTCGAGWGGGGAAYAATTGCTGAACAAGGTGAAAACATCACATTTCGCTTACCCAATCTATTTCTTTTTGATCTTGGCATTGTAGATAATTTCTAATCTTTTTGTTCAAATAAAGAATGTTACTTGTTCGGCGTAAAAATACACTGGAGTCGTCGTTGGACTTTTCTGTTCTATACAAGGGAGACAAGCGATATCAATRAAAMACGCTTTCATCTATCCACCTTTCTCGCTTCGACCTTTTTCTTTCATGGAACGATAAAAATCGATTCACGACTTGCACTCGATGGAAAAACGGGATGCAAAAATTGGTTCGAGGATGATTACGAGTACTACTCGTACTTGTACCACGACGATCACTACTACGACGCTTAGATCACGATCATCATGCACGTGAGAGAAGAAACGAAAACGAAAAACTTTCATTTTCGATCTGTTCGCACCAAATGAATGGTTTATACTTGTTCCACGTAGGAAAGCCATTATKCATGTATAATAAAAACTAATATAATAGCCCTTATGTTAAGAATTTGATTTTTAATAAACAATATTAATCGATGAATTTGGAGCCAAAGCTCTATAGCATGGCACGTGCATTGGACCAATCAAAAACAAATCTTTGCGTCATTTCTTCAGCGTCCACGGGAGTGAATGATGATGTTGAAATCCAACGATAAAACCTGTACCAGAACAGGGATGTATTTTGAGCCACCAGTAACTGTACAGTGATTCAAGATCCATACAGTACCTGGTACCATACGTACGATACGTTATGTAGAGTCTTTCAATAATGTACAGTACGTGCGAACCAGTAATCCCTCCCCATTGGCTACTTGCAGTATTGTACGTCCCCTCGTACGTGCTGTACGATGAACTGTGTATTTGATGTACMATTAAGTAATTTTGATTCCATATTTTTCCAATGGATAGCAAAATCATGCCTCTACAGTAACACAGTAACACAGTAACAATCTTACGAAGTCCATTGCCTTACTGCTCTGTACAAAAATACTGTGATGCAGTGTACTTTTACCAGGTCCCAGTACTTTACTCGTACGATGCTGTCTACGGTTACGCCACTGTACACTTTCGAATAAGAGACCTCCACAGAAATAAAAAATACTGAAGCATACGGACAGAGACGGAGACCCTCTGTCCTGCGTTGTTGTGCTCTTCCAGCCAAAGTAGTGGGTTTGCATGCAATTTATCAGAAGGACCGAGCTATACCATCTGAAAAATTTAGTCTTTCTGCCTCAAGTGCGACCATTCCAGCACAACCACTCACTTACCTCCGTTGTAAATCAATCTTGGTTGTACGTACACAACAACGCAGCGAATGTTTACTGAGAGCTAGTGAGGTAGTGTTGACGACTGTTTCACAAAAGTCCATCTAACAATGAACGACGGTGGGGCATCAGCGGGAGGTTCATCGTCTTCTGGGGCTGGAGGCTCGGGTTCAAAGGCCCAGCCGCAGCAAACATTTTCCAGCAAAGTAGCCGCAGATGGTCGATCTGCCCAACCTTCCTTGCACCTTAGTAGCGATGAGGTTAATTATCTCATATATCGGTATGTATRAATGAAAAACAAAGCGAAAGCATCAGAAATGCCTCCTGAAAGCGAACGAGTTGGATAGAAAAGAGTTATGAAAACTAAGGTCGAAATGCAATAGTCTTGTTGTAAATTTGGTRTTGAGAAGGATTGTGCATTGCGATGCACCTTTTTCACAGACATGATGTTCACCGTGTTGATTACACTCTTCCTACGTTGGATGTTTATGCGTGAAATCTTACTTGGGATGTCTTGCCGTTTTTAATGGCTTGTGTATTGTTTTGTTCATTGAAATTCGTTATGTCACTTGTTCCTCCTAACCTCTCACCATGCATTCCTATCGTGTCACGCACTGTAGATATATGCAAGAGTCCGGCTTTGTTCATTCGTCCTTCACGTTCGTGTACGAGTCGATGCTGGGGCGATCCAACATGAAAAATGCGGAACGGTCAATACCTCCAGGAGCACTTGTGTCYTTTCTCCAGAAGGGACTACAGTACGTTGGGATCGAAGAAACCTTGCATAGAGAACATCAACAACGGGGGAATGTGAATTCTACGAGTAGCAACAAAAAGAGCAAGAGTGGCAACACTAGTAGTAGCAACAACAGCGGCAGTGCATCCTTAGGTGGAGGTGCGTCATCCACTGATGCGACGATCATGAACCTATCCTTGTTGTCACCAACAACAATAAATGCCATGACGCGAGAGACTGCCCCATTGCACCTGAACGTTCCTCCAGCCACGGCTGCGGCTGCTGTGAGGGCACGAGTAGAAGCAGAGAACAAAATTGCCGAAGATCGCAAGCAGGCAGCTATCATGGAGGCAAAAGCGAAGTCGGAAGCACAATCGAATGGAAAGTCTTCCAATCGATGGACGGGACCACAGAGTATTCCTCCCCAAGCCAGTGTGACGCTCACGAATCCCCTCTCCGCCGTGACCAACTCGGCACACTCTGCAATGGATGCACAGGCAGCCAAGGCTGCAGCACTGTCAGGCTATGATATTGCTGAAATCAACGAGTTACAGCAGCAACAGCAACAGCGCCATGGTCTTCTTGTTCCACAAAACAATCCGTTGCCACAACATCAACAACAGCAACAGGAAGCGCAATCGCAACAACGGCAGCAGCAACAGGAATCAGCAGCAAAATCCTCGGTCAATGCCGCTGCTCTAATGGCACGCGACATCCAACAACGCGAACATATGGTACAGTTGCAGCTTCGGCTCCAGCTTCAACAAGAGCAAGAAAAGCACTATCAGAAGCTGCGCCAAGATAGCTTAAAGGCGGCCGCGCAAGCTAAAGCTCGTGGCATTCCGGTGGAGACGATGCCAGGCATAAATACGGCACAGGCGGCAGTGGCACTAGCATCCGTTGCGGAACAAATGGGGAATAACATGAACAACAGCAGCAGTAACAACAACAGTAATAGTAGCAGTAACAACAATGCTGCCACGAGTAATGGTTCGAATAGCAGCAGCAGTGCCAGCAACAAAAGGTCATCAAGTGCAAAGAAAGGACCGAAGAACAAGGGGAAATCACCAAAGCAGCAAAAGACATCACAGCAGCAACAGCAACCACAAGTAACGACAAAAGGTGAATCTAATTTGAATCTTCCTACTCCGTCCCCAGCAGCACMGCAAAATAATGGTCTGGCATCCCTAGAAGCTGCAGCTCAGTTGGAGGCAAAGAGAGGCATGACCGAGAGTGCAGCAGGAGCAAAGCATCTACAACAGGTCCAATATCAACAGCAGCAGCAAGAGCAGCAACAGCAACAGCAACAAGATGTAGTAATGACCGATTCAGGGCAACCTAGTGGTGCGGTTGTAGCAGGTGACGATAATGATCATCGTCAACAYCACCGCCACCTTCAGCACCCCAACCTTCGACCAAATACACCAACCTACAATATTCTCGATCAAATGCAGCAACTTCCGGCATCCGAGTTATCTTCACACCAAGCAGCAGCAGTATCCCTTCAAAAGTTGATATCGATGAATGGAAATCATGTGCAAGGAGAAATACAGAACTTCAACGGGACTMTAGAGCCGCAACAGCCGTTGCAGCARACAACGGCGTCTCCGAACGTAGCGCTATCTGCTCCAAAACTTCAGGCAGTACTCTCTGCTGCAACAACGGGTCCGAATCAACCACATCAACCTGTTGTTGCGACGCARGTTGCACCCAAGGAAGCTGCCAAGGCCCAGGATGCTCTGATCGATAAAGAAGACGAACGCACAAATGCAAAACCATCCGAGGTGCTTGAATTGAAAATGCATCAGTCGGAGGTCTTTATGTGTGCGTGGAATTCTGTTTTCACCGATACGATTGCTACTGGTAGTGGAGACGCCTCGGCTAGGATATGGAAAATGGGCGGTCCTAAAGCAGGTAATGGTTTAGGGGTTGTCAAACTGCTTCCGCACGGTACCGGACCAAAGGACAAGAAGAACAAGGATGTTACAACCCTAGAATGGTCATCGGACGGCAGACTTTTAGCAACGGGAAGTTATGATGGTGTTGCTAGGGTTTGGAGTTTGGAAGGTAATTTGGTGCATACTTTGCGGGGTCACAAGGGTCCAATATTTTCACTGAAGTGGAACAAGACAGGAAACTATCTTTTGTCCGGAAGCTATGATAAGACGACAATTGTTTGGGATGTATCGACATCCGAAGGTTTCATTAAGCAACAATTTCAGGATCACCAAGCTCCGGCTCTGGACGTAGATTGGAAGGACGATGACACATTTGCTTCGTGTTCTACAGACAAGACGGTGCACATATGTCGGGTAGGAGAAGATGTACCACTCAAAACATACACCGGTCATACAGACGAAGTAAACGCAGTAAAATGGGATCCTTCTGGCTGCCTACTTGCTAGTTGCTCAGATGATTGTACTGCAAAAGTTTGGGATGTGAGGAACGATAGAAAAGACCCCATGTACGATTTCAAGGATCACCAACAAGAAATCTACACTGTCAAATGGTAAGTGAATATCATTCATAGGTTGACTCRTTAATTTTAGTTCTGCTCGAGTCATTTGCACTCATGCATGTTTTTTCTTGTCGTTCCTTTTAATGCAGGGCTCCAACTGGACCCGGTTCAATGAATCCGAAGAAGAAACCGTTACTAGCTACCGCTTCATTTGATGGGTCTGTTCGTTTGTGGAATGTCCAGGACGGTAGTTGCATACAAGTATTTTCGCGGCATCGAGATTCTGTGTATTCTGTTGCCTTTTCACCATCCGGAAATTATCTGGCGAGCGGATCCCTTGCAGGGCAATTGTACGTGTGGAACGTAACGGAGGGACGGCACATCAAGAGCTTCAAGGGTAAGGGAGATATCTTTGAAGTCGCCTGGAACAAGGAAGAAACACGGGTAGCTGCATGCTTCTCTTCAAATGTGGTATGTATTCTTGATTTTCCATAGTACAGCAGTTCTGTTAAACTTGAAAAGAACATATTCGTTATTTTTTATTSGTACTGTAAAGGTACAGCTCGTGGCTTGCTCGAATTGCGCATGATTTGTGTGCAGAATGAGAGATTCGTGTAGTAGGTACGATGTTGCGCTTTCATGTCGTATCTTCCAATCGAGATGAATATGAGACTTGAGGAATACTTCACAATTGTCGCTTCATTAGTTCTATCAATGCATGCTGTGAGGAAGATCTATKGAAGATGTGACTGTCAGGGAGAATGTGAACATTCACCCCTCGAATACGATTCCAACGGTCCTGATTTGGACAAAACACGTCATCAAATTCTCCGTGGACGACTATTACCTTTGGGGTGCTGTTCATTGATAGCGACAACGAGGCACGTTCTTTGATCCTCGTGGCTGCATCTCTCTGAAACGCTACCTTTGCCACCAAAGACGTAGTCGGTGCAATCAATAGCGCAGAAGGTTGATCTTGCCCCCCTAGCATTCCCCTGGCAATCATTTCCGCTACTACAGCTCCTCCCCAACTGAAACCGATCAAAAGTAAATTGTTGTGATCAATGGCCTTGTCGATGATTTCTCGATAGATAATTTGAATCGACGTCTCGATCGATGTTCTCACAACAACTCCCGCCAACATAGGACAACACGCCAAGGCCAGAACTACAAGTAGCAATCGTCCAAAAATAGAGACTTTTGAAGTTATTGACAGATAAACCATCAGAATAAGTATAAGAATGACGAGAAGGACGAAAGGGTGGCAACACCAGAGTCCGGGAAGCGGTGGCATGAAAAGGTTCATATTTTTCGGTTCGATAACGTTGGGGCAGCTCTCTGCAGACAAGGCCTGCTTTAAATACCCCAGAGGCCCAGGAGACCAGCCTCCTACAATTACGATTTGAGTGCCCTGTCTAGGGGTCCCTAAATGGTGACCATGGGAACTGATCACGTTTTGTTCGTCAGAACGGTATTTCATAATACTACGTACTGCGTAGTAAATAATATCATACTACAAATTATCAGCAATGGCAACCGATCAAAATCAGAAGGGGAAAGTGATCAGGAATGAGAGAGTCTTAATGAGATCCATTTTTRGGTCATAACGCACGTTGTTTTAGTGTCATAGCAGTCACAAGCGAATGCTCATCGAATATTAAAACCCTTTTTTTGTTATAAAAAAAAGCGAAGGTTCTCTTTCTCGGTTTACCAGTTCGTACTGGCATTTCAAGGTATCATACCGTACGTACATGCTACATGCGTTACAGAAATGCAAAATGCTCTTTCCTCGAGATATCTTCTTGTAGTCGACGCTTACCGTACGRTGCGCTGGTTGTTGGTAATAATTATTAGAAATACTGATACGCTCTGCAGCACGCTCTGCGTTGTTACAACCCTTACCAGGATCAATTTTAACTCTTACGTTACGTTAACCACAGGCTAGCAAAGATGGGAAATGCAATCGCCAGCATGGCCGGAAAGAAGAAGGCCAACGATGCCGCCAATCAGGCCAAAGAAGGCCTCAATGCACTCACGGCCGGAAAAACCGACGAACAGAAAGCCAACGWGAACCGTGCGAAGGACAGAAATGCAGCTTACGAACAAAAGAAACGCGAACGGGAAGAGCGCAAGAAGAAACTTCAGAGCCAATGGGCTGATAACAAAAAGTGATGGGCATCAAGCAATCATAGCGATCTTTGTGCACTGAACTACATTTGTCTCATTGTAGTAAGGAATGGAGTTCAATATAAAGTGCTTGAGCTGGTCATTTGAGAAACATTTATCTTTATGAGTTGTACTTGCGTTAACTTAAAACTCGAGAATGGTAGAGATTCTTAAACATCACTCTCTTGAATTTCAAAARAAGATAAACGTCAACCATAGGAGAAAAACGTGATCTCTTAAGTTCGCAAAACTTGTTTCACTAACTGCTTGATCATGATTTATCCATACCTTGCCATCAATTTCCTTTTTTTCTCTTGTTGAGCAGCGATTTCTTCCATAGATCTCTTCTTTGGAGCAGCAGCTGACGAAGACTCTGAAATTGTTGAATGAGATGCGGGTCTTTCGCGATTCGAATAATATCCGGGATTGGAAGGGGCAGGTACATGCTTCGTAGATTCTTGGCGATTGTAGGGAGCTGATCCTGTCAGACTGGCTTTGACGCTTTGAGACCTACGGACTACAGCTTCATTCCCTCGAGCTGTAACATTTTCACGCTCTCGTCTTCGCACTTCTTCGTACAAGTCGTCATTGGAAGGCAAAGCTGGGCCACTGCGTGAGCTTCTGTCATCATGGCCATATTCTCTGCGCCGATCATTGTCTCTTTTCCAGCGATCATCTCCGTCGAGGTATCCTCTGCGATTTCCATTGTCTCTTCTTCTGTGATGATCCGCATTATCATAGCCTCTGCGAGGTGCAATCCCTGATCTCCTACGATCATCTTCATCACGATATCCCCTGTCCGAGTAACCCCTTCCGTTATAATCCCTACGATTATCCCTATAATTGTCTCGTTCATAGCCTCCACGGATCTCACTTTGGCTTCTATATCCCCTTTTCTCGCCTCTTCTGGCAGAAGTTTCAWTGTCATTCGTAGAGTCGAGAGAAACTCCAGGCATTTCCATTTCCCCAAGCGTCACTGTTTCCGTATTACCATACTCGGGAAAAGTTACAATAAATTTTGGAATTTTCAACTCTCGGCGAGTTTCCTCGTCTCGAAGAAGAACACGATCTACCACTCCTTCGTACCATGTTATTGGATTTTCGTCATCGCCATAGAGTGCCATGACACGAGAACCCAACGTTTTGAAATAATCCATTGTTTTTCTGTTTGAAATATGCTTTTTCGCCCTTTCTTGAACCTTCTCGGCGAATAACAACTTAACCTGTAGGTCGCGCTCTACTTGAATTGGCAATCTTGGAAGCATAGTTCCATAGAAATCACGTTCAGATGAGGAGAAAAGTCGTCGAACGAAGTCACCAACTGTTCCATCTCGTTGCTGGCGTCCCTTTTGTTGCCCCTTGTTCTTGCTTGATGTTGCAGCTACTGCGATGGGCTCATCATCGTACAAGTATGGCTCGATCCATCCCCAGATGGATTTCGGATCACCAACGTATCGCAGGTATAAAAATCCAACCCCACGGATATATGGACTATCRACATGGTCCAAGAGGAGCTTCATCTGTTTTTCGGAACACCTCAAAGTCAAAAGACGAAGGAGCAAACAAAAAGCAGTAGATGGCTGACCTCCTATGAAGAGAAAAGTTCGAAGAAGGTTCACGCGTGAGTAACAAAGTTGAATATGATCCTTCGTTAAAGCTTGGAGCATTGTTCACTGCATGGCAACACTTCTTACGGTTTATACCGGTCCGACAGTTTCTTCAGTGCAGGATTCACACGAATGGCGGTTAGAAACACCAAATCTCGAGACATGGCCATAGCAGAATAGTCGACTCATCCCAAAAGACCGGGTGAATTAGTTTAGAATCTCGTATGCTTTGGTAAGATTTTTCAGGACCAAGCTTTTAGAATCATTCGTGCCTCTGCATCGCCACTCCCGCCATTTTTTGCCRTATGMCTTGATTCACTTACCCAGTGTCCATGGTTCCAGATCCTTCACCTGGTAATATATTTCATCCACAAGTTTGTTCCAATCTGTGATATCTCTGCAACACTTTTGAAAATACTGCGATTTTATGGTCTTTTCCAACAGGACCGGATTGAAGTGAAAGGAGTCATCGGGTCCCCAGAGTGGGAGGCTTTTCGATCKATTGTTCTACAGACGAAGATAATCGTATAAGAAAAGACTTCGAAATGAGCCGGAAGCATCGAGATCAACGATACATTTTCACGATTAAATAATTCTTACCCTACCTTCCTCCACAGCCATCACAAACAGATCCTCAGCTTGCTTCTCCCGCATTTTCTTTGCGCCTTCTTGGCGCCATAGAGCAGATCTAGACATGGTAGGTTAATCTTTTGCGGCTAGATTTTCCTCGAATAATTATGGTTTTGATGGACTAAGGTAACAATCGGCATTGATCCTACAACACCAGTGCTGTTTGTTCATGTTGTTGTTTTCTCTTTAAATTTAATTCATGCGAACAGCGCGAGTTTTGGCGACGCTCTTTGGTTCTGGTATGTACTTCTATTACGTACGGTACGTACAGTACCAGTTACTCGTTACGTACCGGTAATAGGATCCAAAATCAGGTGTACGAAATCAGGATAGGTTATGTGTMTAAATTATACTTTGGGTGAAGATGGTGTTTTGGCAATAATGATGTGATAAATTCAGTTGGAGTAAAATCACTTTTCTCCAACAATTAGTAGCTAGTGCCTATCAAATTAACTGCTGGTATGAGTTTAATCAGAGTAAAATGCATTAAATGTAAAAACCCTACCAGGCATAGTACTACTCAAACACCAAAACTCATTACACGTACTCCTCCCTTCTAGTACTAGTACAACTACTACTAGTAGTAGTACTAGTAGTAGTAGTAGTAGCATTGCAGTTGATTTTGAAGCCCAATATTTAGTACTGGGTCCTATATACTAGATCTACTACTAGCATTTGGTCACTTTTTTGTCTACAAACAGTTCAAGAATAAGCTACTACTAGTACTAGTACTAAGAACCACACCAGCAGCTCCAGAACAAGAAATGCCTCTAGTACTAGTAGAAGTAGTACTAGTAGTAGTACTACTAGTAGTAGTAATGTCCTCCCCCTTGGGCCTTTGGGGATAAGCTTGGTGGGTATAGTGTCACAGAGAGTGTCCTGTGTCATTATTGCATGATTATAGGCCTTGGGGAGCTGACAGCACATTAACAGCCACCAATCTCACTGAATTTTTGTGCTGTTTTCAGAAATTGGCTGTGTTAGTAGTACTAGTACAAAATAGCTACTACTAGTACTAGTAGGCCACCAGAACTTTATCAGAAACCAACTCTAGATCTCCCAACTCTAGATCTCCAGACTAAGTGCCCAGTCCAAGTGAATACAATTTCCTATAGGTTGGTGTGCAGTCATTGGGATACCAAAGGATGCTCTACTAGAGGCTCAGAACTAATCTGTCAAAGTCATAGTAGTACTACTACTACTAGTACTAGTAGTAGTGGTTGGCCAAATTTCGCGTTAATTTTGCCTGTAATTTTTCTCCGATTCAACTTGTGCTGTACGACTGTACCGGTACTCGTACTTCGTACAAGGTTACGAGTATTACTGGCCTTGGGTAACGAGAATTTTTT